TTTCACTCCCTTCCTTCATCCATCTTTCCCTCCTTTTTCTGGTTCTTCCTTCCTTCTCTTCCCTTCTCCCTCCCCCTTTTCCCCCTCCTTTCTCTTCCTCCTCTCTTCCTTCCCTGTCTCTTTCTTTCCTCCCTCTCATCTTTCCACACTGACCCCCAATGCTATGACGTCAGGTAAAGTTCCACCACACTAAGCCATGTCAATGGGTAATTTACAACATACCCTGCCCCAAAATAGGGAGGGAAGGAGGGAGAGGGAAGGAGGGGAGGGAGGGAAGAACAGAGGGGGAGGGAGGGGGGAAGAACAGAGGGGAGGGAAGGGGGGAGGAGGAAGAACAGAGGGGGGAGGAACAGAAAGATGGAGGGGAGGTAGGGAAGAACAGAGGAGGGAACAGAAAGATGGAGGGAGGTAGGGAAGAACAGAGGGGAGGGGAAGAGAAAGATGGAGGGGAGGTAGGGAGAACAGAGGGGAGGAACAGAAAGATGGAGGGGAGGTGGGGAGAACTAGGGGGAGGAAAGAAAGAGGAGGGGAGGTAGGGGAGAACAGAGGGGGAGGGAACAGAAAGATGGAGGGGAGGTAGGGGGAGAACAGAGGGGAGAGGGGAACAGAAAGATGGAGGGGAGGTAGGGAAGAACAGAGGGGAGAACAGAAAAGGGAGGGGAGGTAGGGGGAGAACAGAGGGGAGGGAACAGAAAAGATGGAGGGGAGGTAGGGGAGAACAGAGGGGAGGGAACAGAAAGATGGAGGGAGGTAGGGAAGAACAGAGGGGAGGGGAACAGAAAGATGGAGGGAGGTAGGGGAGAACAGAGGGGAGGGAACAGAAAGATGGAGGGGAGGTAGGGGAGAACAGAGGGGAGGAACAGAAAGATGGAGGAGGTAGGGGAGAACAGAGGGGGGGAGAGGGAACAGAAAGATGGAGGGAGGTAGGGAAGAACAGAGGGGAGGGAAACAGAAAGATGGAGGGAGGTAGGGGGAGAACAGAGGGGGAGGGGAACAGAAAGATGGAGGGGGAGGTAGGGGAGAAACAGGGGGGAGGGAAGAGAAAGATGGAGGGGAGGTAGGGAAGAACAGAGGGGGAGGGAACAGAAAGATGGAGGGGAGGTAGGGGAGAAACAGAGGGGAGGGAACAGAAAGATGGAGGGGAGGTAGGGGAGAACAGAGGGGGAGAGGGAACAGAAAGATGGAGGGGAGGTAGGGGAGAACAGAGGGAGGGGAGGGGAGGAGGGAACAGAAGATGGAGGGAGGTAGGGAAGAACAGAGGGGAGGGGGGAGGGAAGAACAGAGGGGGGGAGGGGAGGAGGGGACAGAAAGAGGGAGGGGAGGTAGGGAAGAACAGAGGGGAGGGGGGAGGGAACAGAAAGATGGAGGAGGGGGGAGACAGGGGGAGGGAACAGAAAGATGGAGGGGAGGGGTAGGGAGAAAGAGAGGGGGGGAGGGAACAGAAAGATGGAGGGGGAGGTAGGGAAGAACAGAGGGGAGAGGGAACAGAAAGATGGAGGGGAGGTAGGGGAGAACAGAGGGGAGGGAACAGAAAGATGGAGGGGAGGTAGGGAAGAACAGAGGGGGAGGAACAGAAAGGGGGAGGGGGGTAGGGGAAGAACAGAGGGGAGGGAACAGAGGGAGGGGAGGTAGGGGAGAACAGAGGGGAGGGGAAAGAAAGATGGAGGGGAGGTAGGGGGAGAACAGAGGGGGGAGAGGGAAACAGAAAGATGGAGGGGAGAAGAGGGGAGAACAGAGGGGAGGGGAACAGAAAGGGGAGGGGAGGTGGGGAGAACAGAGGGGAGAGGGAACAGAAAGATGGAGGGGAGGGGGGAGAACAGAGGGGGGGAGGGGAGGAGGGGAACAGAAAGAAGAGGTAGGGGAGAACAGAAGAGTGAGGGAGGAGGGGACAGAAAGAGGGGAGGGGGAGAGGGAGGAGGGAACAGGGGAGGGGGAGGAGGGGAGGAGGGAACAGAAAGATGGAGGGGAGGTAGGGGAGAACAGAGGGGGAGGGAGGAGGGAACAGAAAGATGAAAGAGGGGGAGGGGAGGTAGAGAACAGAGGGGGAGGGGAGGAGGAACAAGGTAGGGGGGTAGGGAGGGGAGACAGGGGGAGGAACAGGAGGGGGGAGGGGGACAGAGAGGGAGGGGAGGTAGGGGAGAACAGAGGGGAGGGGGGGAGGGAACAGAAAGATGGGGTAGGGGAGAACACAGGAGGGGAGGGAGGGGGGAGGGAGAGGAACAGAAAGAGGGAGGGGGAGGTAGGGGAGAACAGAGGGGAGGGAGGTAGGGAACAACAGAGGGGAGGGGAGGGGGAGGTGGGGGAGGAACAGGAGGGGGAGGGGAGGAGGGGACGGAGGTAATAGAGGGGGAGGGGGGAGGAGGGAACAGAAAGAGGAGGGGAGGTAGGGGAGAACAGAGGGGGGGGGGGAGGGAACAGAGATGGAGAGGTGGAGGGGAGTAGGGGGAGAACAGGAGGAACAAGGGAGGGAAGGTAGGGGAGAACAGGAAAGAGGGGAGGAGGAGGGGAGAACAGAGGGAGGAAAGGGGAAAGGAGGGAAAGGAAGAATAGAGGAGGGGGAACAAAGGGGGAGGGAAGGGAGGAAGGAAAGAAAGAAAAGACAGGGAAGGATGGGGAGGAAGAGATAAGAAAGGTGGAGAGGAGGCAGTGACAAGGAGAAGGAGGGAATGGGGAGAGGGACAGTAAGGGAAGGGGGAGGGAAAGAGAGAGGGAGGAAGGGGTAGGGAGACAGGGGGGGGGGACAGAGGTAGGAAGACGGAGAGTGGGGGAGGAAGGAAGACGGAGAGGACGGGAGATAGACGGACAGACGGATAGAGGAAAAAATGACCCCCCAAAAAATAATAAATAAAAAAAAATAGAAAGAAGTGAATAGAATAAGAGATAATTAGAAAAAGTGAGAAGACAGAGACAGTAAAATTAAGAGGGGGACAAATACACAGACAGAAACAAAATACAGACAGACAGACAGACAGAAAAATACTGACTGAGAGACACATACGGGGGAAAATAAAGACACACACAGAGAAAAATACACAAACACATAGACAGAAAGAAAAATGCAGACACAAAGAGAAAGAAAGACAGAGACAGACATATACACAGACAGAACAAGACACATACAGACAAATAAGACGGTACTTCACGACCCTCCCCTAAACAGCTGACGATACATAAACAAAGTCTAAGTAGCTGGTGATACATACAGGCTGTGAGAACATGTGCCACATACTCACAGTCTTCTACGTATCTCTTCCTCTCCTCTCTCTCTCCTTTCCTCCCTCCCCCCCATGGCCTTCCTCCACCCCCACTTTCCCTCTCCTCTCCCACCCAAACACATAAACATATCACGATTTACCCTCCCTATCATAACAGACATGACGTCATATTTACGTCAGCAGGATCTCGGCCAAAAAGCTCATCATCTCGGCCACACGTCACTTAACCAATAAGAATGCGCCACGTCACATAGTCATGGTATCGCTAAATCCTCACACGAACAGAAACCATTTTCATGAGACTCGCATTTATGTATTAATAATAATAATAAACTATCGCATTTATATACTTAATAATAATAATAATAATAATGTCACGATATTTGTACGTAAAATATACTACCAAATACTATTTAATTATTATTATTATTGTTGTTGGTATTATTAAATTAATTTCATTGCAATCATTCGACTTCCTTTCGTTGGGCGACCGAGTCATTCAGTGTGAGTGCCGGCACCCTCACAGGCACTTTCCCAGCCTAGAGCTCCACTGCCCAGTGTTACCCTCCTCGTGCTTCAATAAATAACCGGGATTTTGGACTCTTCCTGTTAATTTTTCTTCTAATTACTTTGTGTTTTTTTCTTCTAATTAAGTAGCTTTATCTTGGCGAAATTTTTCTTTTAATTCTTATTCAAATTAATTACCTTAAAGAATTATTCCATTTCTTACTCAGATTAATTACTGTATATCTATGTTACAGACTTATGGTTAGGATTCATGTTCTAATTAATAATATCAAGAGCTGGATGTTTTAATTATTTATTCAAATTAATTTGTGAAGTTGTTGACTTTTTTCAATTATCGTTCTAAAGCGCCTGTTGTTTTAATTCATCGCGGCTTCCTTCCTCGATCGTTACTTTACTCTATATCTAATAATCTAACTCTTCGTTTGCTTTATCGTTAATTATTTATCATTACATAAAGAACTTCACCAATGTACAGAAGAGCACCCCCGAGGAGCTTAATCATACCGTTTTATGATGTTGAAGGAGCCCCTGACGGAGCATAGTGAAGGAACCCCTGACGGAGATTATTGAAGTAGCCCCTAACGAAGGAACCCCTGAAGGAGATTATTGAAGTAGCCCCTAACGAAGGAACCCCTGAAGGAGATTATTGAAGTAGCCCCTAACGAAGGAACCCCTGAAGGAGATTATTGAAGTAGCCCCTAACGAAGGAACCCCTGAAGGAGATTATTGAAGTAGCCCCTAACGAAGGAACCCCTGACGAAGTATACAGTGTATTGATAGCGGAGGCCCCCTGAAGGGAGCATGATTACTGAACTGTGAAAACCCAATCGTCCTTGAGTAAGCACTACTGCACAGCGGCATGACAAGGCCACTGTTGAGAGGCCCTCCAGAAACATAAATGTTGTGTGATAGGCAAGCAATAAATCGCTTGCCTGCGCCCCTGAATAAGAATAACAACACCGATTTGAGAGGCAATAAAGAATAAAAGATGTGTATGATGGTGGCCGGGGCCCTGAAGAAGCATAACAACAAGGTAATGTTTGTTATTGTATTAAAACGAGCTGGCCGGGGCCCTGAAGAAGCATACAAGCACTAGATATAAATGGAGGAAAATGATGTGAATTAAATAAAATATAATGTTGATCAGGTCCTGAAGGAGCATAGAACAGTGAGTTGTAAACATGCAAAAATAAATAAATAAAAATTGAGTGGGATCTGGAGAAGCATTACAGCACATAATTACAGTACAATACTTACATGATCGAGAGATCTGAAGAGGAAAATGTTTTTGACAGCTTCTGACAACCTCTGCCGCTGTTCATCCGACTTGGCGTGGATGATCTGTGGGAGGAAAAAACACACATTTAGTTTGGTCATACACAAACTACACGACGGAGGAAGTTGTCTAATCACCTAAAAATCAATTTTATGAAGAACATCACCTCGTGTGTCACCTTCACACGCTCGACCCAGGACACAACACGACCATGTATGTAACCCACTGCTTGTCATGGTCCCCGACACTGATGTTGTTGAGATAAGTGGAGACACAGCACTGCCCACGGGAGGACAATACCTAAAACAACCTCTTACCCTCACCCACTTAAGACTGAAAATAACACAAACAATTTATTTACCCAGAAAATTCAAGAAATAAATTGTCTATATAATCAGTACAATGAACCTGCTGAGAACTACAGCTTAAGAGGTAAACACAAGTACATTATTGATACCATCACATATTACCGGGTCCACAGCCAAAACACAGAGGATAGCTGGAATAATTTCATAAACAAAGTATACTATTTGATGAAAACACAAATATCGACTACAATTTTTTTTTCCTTTAAGATAATTCAGGATTTAAACACAAAGAAAAAAAGAAGACTCAGAAAAAATCTTACACCTAATAAAACAATTCATAGGACTGAAGGACACACACACACACACACACACACACACACACACACACACACACACACACACACACACACACACACACACACACACACACACACACACACACACACACACACACACACACACACACACACACACACACACACACACACACACACACACACACACCACACACACACACACACACACACATACACACACACACACACACCCACACACACACACACACACACACACACACACACCTAAAATAACACACAGCTCTTCTGCTTTTACAGGATATCCATGGGGTGTCTGAAAGCAAAATGCTTGACCTTGTAGTTTGTGATTGACAAAGGATTCAGAGCAGAGAACTCCTAGGGACTCTGGAATATGGCTCCGTGGAGGAGGAGGAGGAGGAGGAGGAGGAAGGAGGAGGAGGAGGAGGAGGAGGAGGAGGAGGAGGAGGAGGAGGAGGCAGCGGCAAGATGTCATAGCCATAAACATAATGGATTTTGCTTGTCTCTGTCTCCTGTCCCGCTGAGGCCCACGATCTCTCTCTCTCTCTCTCTCTCTCTCTCTCTCTCTCCAAACATTGAGTTATCATGCTTATCTCCTCCACTCTCTGGGGGTTTACGATTGTTTATTACAGGCTTCACATTTTTTTAAAGGCCTTGTTAAATTAGTTTTAGGCAGGCTTACGGGTTTGGCTTAGATAGGTCAGATTACCTTAGTTGTCATTAAGTTTCCCGGTATTAGAACCCGTACAGTAAATTCTGGAAGGTTCTGGATTTATAAGACAACATAAGAAGACCAAAACAAGCTCAATTTTATACTGCTCTCCTGGTTTACAAGTGGATTCAGACAGTTTTATGGTGGCTTCCGGGTTTAAATGCCCACGCCCATACCCACGACCAAGCCAACGCCCAACGCCCACGACCAATCCCAGGGCCACGCATGTGTAGGATAGTCAGTGTAATCTATACATTATATACATAAGAACCTATATATCTCCTCAGTATAACTAGTGAACAGGAGGAGATACAGTGTACATAGTTGGCATAACACTGCTGGAACTACTATGCTGGTAGGGTCACAGAGGTCAGCGTCAAGGTCAAAGGTCCCGAGTACAGGTGAATTGACACTTAATTCGAGTGTAGAATAAGTTTTATATTATTCTCCCAGTGTTGAATGAAGTTACAAATGGGTTATTCAGCATTCAGGCTAACAGTTTAACGGTTTATTCATCATTCAGACTGACAGTTCATTCATCATACAGGCTGACAGGTCATTCATCATTATACATGCACTGGCATTATAAGGACGAGTGTGGTGTTGCCATCGACTCATAGGAGAGAGAGAGAGAGAGAGAGAATATCACGAGGTCAATCTGGCTAGCTGTTGACCAGGGTTGACAAGGACGACAGACGGACAGAACCGTTCAAGAGGAAACATTAAACTCAGAACCCTCTAAGCCATCGTCCCCTCCCTCAGGACCCTGCATTACCCAACTTCAGGTACGACACCATGAATATTCCTCTCTCACACCTCCTAAGTTCTTAACGATGTACCTAACTGAATAACTTAAGCTAAAAACACACGATATTAATGTTGAGAAATGACATCAAGATTCAAATGAGGAGCTAATTTGCATGTGTTCGCTGAGCCCTAGACGAACACGGATCAGATGAAGATTATGTAGCATAATTTAATGCACTTTGATGATTAAACACTCTACAACGCTAGGTTAGAGTGTGGGTGTTTTATCATCAGGTGAAATATACTGCAGTACCTAATTTTCAAATGATACGACAAAATTAGAGTAACTGTCAACGCTAATTTCACCTTAACATAGTCTCAGTGTAATTGTGACGCCATCTTGAGAGTTTACTTTCGTGATTCTATAGTTTAAATCAACCAGGTAGACGCACTGTTTACCTATTCACCTGTAAGAAATAGAGCATCTTAACACCACACCATTGAGACCTAAGAATCAGTAAGTTTCTATTACTCTCTTAACTCACGAAAAACATCCATCAGTCGAGTAAAAAAATAATTAGGATCAGTAAATACAGCCAAGAATTATATATAAAATTTTGTCTGCTTTTAAAGATGATCATGCGAGTGAGCATAAACGGCACTAAATCGCATTGGAGCAACGTCACTAGTGGAGTTCCCCGAGGCTCAGTACTTGGACCATTATTATTTATTATATACATAAACGATATAGATATCGGCATAGACAGCAACATAAGTAAATTTGCTGATGACACTAAAATAGAACGTGTAATTAAATCTGACGAGGACTCTGCAAAACTACAGGAAGATCTAAACAAATTTTTCGAATGGTCGGAAAATGGCAGATGAAATTTAATGTGGACAAATGTAAATTACTCAGTATAGGAGATGTAAACAGGGAAACCAGTTACCAGATGAACAACGATGCCATTGTGGAATCCGACTGCGAGAGAGATTTAGGGGTAATGATAAGTAGGAATCTTAAGCCAAGTAAACAATGTGTTTTTGCTCGTAACAAGGCTAATATAGTACTTGGGTTCATACAAAGGAGTGTTAGTTACAAGAGCTGCGAGGTCATCCTAAAACTGTATCTTGCTCTTGTGAGACCACACCTGGATTACGCAGTTCAGTTCTGGTCACCGTATTACAGAATGGATATAGAATCCTTGGAAAGAATTCAGAGGAGAATGACAAGACTAATCCCGGGCATTAGGAACCTTGAAGACAGAGACAGGTTAAAGCATCTTAATTTGCACTCCCTCAAGAGACGTAGAGTGAGGGGCGACCTGATAGAGGTGTATAAATGGAAGTCAGGGTTAAACAAAGGGGACATTACAAAGGTACTCAAACTATCCAACCAGGAGCGAACTCGTAACAATGGTTTTAAATTAGACAAATTTAGATTTCGGCGTGAAATAGGTAAACACTGGTTTGGAAACAGAGTAGTGGATGAATGGAACAAGTTACCAAATATCATCATTAACTCGAATACGCTGGATAGCTTCAAACATAGGTTGGATGCTTATATGAGCAATAGGGGTTGGGTATAAACGGGACTGCCCAGCATGGGTCAATGGGCCCGCTGCAGTTTCCTCCATTCTTATGCTCTTATGTTCTTATCATCCACCTTGCCTTTACGTTCGCCTGGCGTTTACCTGGCGCTAGTGGTAAGAGGTCTTCCTACTCCTCGACAACTCATTTAATACAAACGTTTCTCTGATAAAAAATTATTACTCTGGCTTTTATTGCTAACTAGCCCTCCCCAACCAGCCATCGCCGACCACGACCAGCCCTCCTCGACCACGACCAGCCCTCCTCGATCACGACCAGCCCTCCTCGATCAAGACCAGCCCTCGACCCGACCAGCCCTCCTCGACAAGCCAACCCTCCTCCTCGACCAATACAACCTCCTCAATCACGACCAGCCTCCTCGACCCGACAGCCACTCCTCGACAAACCTCTCGACCGACCAGCCCTCCTCGACCGACCAGCCGCCCTCCTCGACCGACCAGCCCTCCCGACCGACCAGCCCTCCCCCGACCGACCAGCCTCCCATGACCAACCCTCCTCGCCCCACTACCCCCTCTGCCATAAATAATGAACCACAGATAAGCAAGTTATCTCGATAAAACAAGTCAAATACACCTCATCCCTGCACCATCTGAGCACACACACACACTCTCTCACACACACACACACACACACACACACACACCTCACTCACTCCCACACACACACACACACACACACACACACACACACACACACACACACACACACACCAGCTGAATCACCATCTGTACCAACACTGACGTCATCATACCAGCTGACGTCAGTAGTTTAGACCACGTGCAAGACTAATCTAGTTGACCAGACTTGACCTGACCTCCTTCACCAGCTGCACCCATCACATGACCTCCCTATCTTGCTGACGCAATACTCGTGACCTGATATGACCTCTCTGACTTGAAGATTTCTGGACCACTGTGACATATCTTTCTCGAATACTGCTCTCTCTCTCTCTCTCTCTCTCTCTCTCTCTCTCTCTCTCTCTCTCTCTCTCTCTCTTGTTTGTGGTTCCAGCCTCCTGACAAACATCTGATTGTGTCTTGTTGTGTTGATGATCAGGTCTTTACCAGATGACTACACCAGGAGTGTGTGTGTGTGTGTGTGTGTGAAGAAGGGAGGGGGAATAAAAGGAGGAAAATGCAGAGAAATCGACAAGAAAATCTGGACAAAAACGAGATAAACAAATAGACAGCTAAAGAGAGAAAGAGAAAATAAAGAAAAAAATTGAGAGAAAATCCAGAGAGAGAGACGAGCTGATACTACTGTCTCTGCCGCTTCCTGTGTCGACTGATTATTACCACGTGTTATATACAGCTGAACAAACTCTTTCACAACGCATACACACGCACATTAACACATACACACGCACATTCACACATACATACACACAAAACAATGCTTCGTCAACGCAAACGAACAACAACAACAACACTCCCTAGTACTGCCACACAACACATTAGCGCTGGTGTCATTTTGTTGACGTGTTATGCAGGAAGTAATGGCTGGATGACCCATGTTTCCCTTCCTAGAATAGAAGACATCATCTCCTCAGTTACTAGATGTTATCAGGATGTTCGCCAATGTTAACTAATGTTGTTTTGACATCTGTACGTCTGTATCAGCAATAAAGATGTTGGAGAAATATTTGGGTTTGTGAGTTATCGGTGGGAGGGAAGGAGGAAGGTAGCGACTTACAGTTGCCCCTCACAGTGGATGAACACAAGTGCAAACTAACACTTCGAGCTGTCAAGTATATCAGAGCTAATTCTCAAAGGTTCTGACATTTAAGTTTTCCTCTCACACTTAATGTCAGACAGCGTCTATCTGGCTGACTTAGGCTAAGACGCAATGGTTGGTTATCAAAAGGTCACACGTCAAATTTCCCTCTAACCGGAGATGTTAGAAGGTGTCAATATGCTCACTTATGTTACGGCAAACAAGTGGATTCCCAAGGCTAAATTTTCCCTCTTAAGTACTGATGTCAGGACGCCTCTATCTGGTGACGCCTACGTCACAAATTTGCTTAAAATGGCGTAAAAATTACGCTGGGACTGTGCAGAAGGTTACGGGGCATAATAAAACAATAATTCTTTTGTGCGAGTAACGATCTTCTGGAGTAATCTTCCAGGCCAGTGAGACGATAATCTTATAAACTTCCCCTGGAATACTATTTAGGATGAAGGATGGGAATATACCCTTGGCTATGGTTGGGATAATGTATCTCCCTGTATCCTATGATGAGAGTAGGGTGCGAATATATCCTGGGAAGGAGACAAGATATTCTGTAAAATCTTTACATATTCATATTTAATTAGCTTCTGTCATTATCCAGGAGGTGCCGATTCTCCTGTAAGAGTTCTCCTCCTCCCCATCCTCCCAAACACTCCCAGTGGTAATATTTTTTCAGTTACTCAATCCTTCCTCTTTATTTTCTGCCTCCTCCTTCTCATCCTCCTCTTACTACTTAATCTACTGTACTTCTCTTCATCTCTTCCTCCTGCACCTCTTGTTTCTCCTTCTTTCTTCACTTCCTCGTTTTTTATCTTCTCCCTCCTCTTCCTTTAATTTAGTTCATTCACATACATTCGCTTCTTCACCTTCCTTCTCCAATAATGATTTTGTTTGTTCACTGGTCTTTATGTTCCCTGAGACCATTTGACCTCTGAATCACCTGCAGATGATTCACTTTATCACGTGAAAAACAATCCAGATTCGCAAAGTTTATTCAGATATATCAGCACCAGTACTTATTCAGGTATAAGTAAAGGTGTTACCTACAGGAAAATCAGCTTTGTGTGAGTATGGAAACACAGAAGAAGGCAGAGCATTCCACAGTATGGCTTTGTGAGGAAAGAAGGAAGTACGATAACGGGTTATTCTAGTGTGACCGACAGCCACAGAGAAACTGTGGGCACCGTGGGCAAGACGAGTGTTACGAGCCCACGGCCTTGCCGGCGGTACACAGGATACCAAATCCACCAAACGTTGCCCGTTAAAGTACCTGTATAAGAGAGAGTGAAGCAACATTGCAGCGAAGAAAGATTATCAACTAAAGGAGGAGAGTCAATAAGACGAAATGCCTTTGATTCCACCCAATCTAACAGTTGGACAGAAGAGCCACCCCAGATATGAGAGCAGTACTCCAAGTTAGGACGAATGAATCCCTTATAAACTTGAAGCAATTGCTCATATTAGGAGTGAAGTAACTACGGTATCTGTACAGCATTCCCAGCTTTCGGGAGGCAACATTAGCAATGCAGCTTTAGCAATGTGATTGGTGGGAGATCATCTAATGTGGAAAGTATAATTGGTAAATACTGAGTTTTATTACTATTGAATTTAACCAAGTTTCAACCTTCCCATTCGGAGATGTTGCACAGGTCCGAATTGATAGATGTGATGATATCAGCTCTAGAAACAGATCTAGTTTGAGAGTTAGGGGGAAGGAGAAAATGTGAAGAAGAGTGAAGAGTAGAATCATCAGCATAAGAATGGATAGAATTAGTCCATTATTAAATACAAACTATGAAGAAACTCACTATCGGTAATATTAAATATAGTTAATAGATAAAGGAAAAAAAAACATCAAATTACTGTTTCCTGAGACAGTTAAAAGTTCCCTTTAAACTTGGCATCGAACTGACGTATTCAATGTTTTAATGTGTGTGTGTGTGTGTGTGTGTGTGTGTGTGTGTGTGTGTGTGTGTGTGTGTGTGTTTTATAAATTCATACTTGGTGACTACGTTTGTCTGGTGCATAGGCTTATCACTGACTTCGTGCGTGACCTTATGAAAATCATCAGACCTTAAACATGACGACATGGGTGTTAGCTGACTTTGTGCCTGACGTCATGAGTGTTAGCTGACTTTGTGCCTGACGTCATGTGTGTTAGCTGACTTTGTACCTGACGTCATGGGTGTTAGCTGACTTTGTACCTGACGTCATGGGTGTTAGCTGACTTTGTACCTGACGTCGGGTGTAGCTGACTTTGTACCTGACGTCATGGGAGTCAGCTGACTTTGTACCTGACGTCATGGGAGTTAGTTGACTTTGTACCTGACGTCATGGGAGTTAGTTGACTTTGTACCTGACGTCATGGGAGTCAGCTGACTTTGTACCTGACGTCTTGGAGTCAGCTGACTTTGTACCTGACGTCATGGGAGTTAGTTGACTTTGTACCTGACGTCATGGGAATCAGCTGACACACTTAATTTTTGAAGTGTGTATGTGTGTGTGTGTGTGTGTGTGTGTGTGTGTGTGTGTGTGTGTATGTGTGTGTGTGTATGTGTGTGTGTGTGTGTGTGTGTGTATGTATGTATGTGTGTGTGTGTATGTATATGTGTGTGTGTGTGTGGGCGTGGCACCAGTATGTCTGGGCTGGGAACCAACTCTGGGTTACACGGGATCGATACCAGCAGTCAGACGTGGAGCCAGAACCCTTCTCCCCCTCTGAACCCCTTCCTCCCCCTCCTTAACCCCTTCCTCCCCCAACTTCCCCACCCCGAACCCTTCCTCCCCCTCTTTAAACCCTTCCCCGAACCCTTCTTTTCCTTAGTCTCCCCAAATTTCAATATACCTCGCCCTTCCCTACCTTCTTCCCTTTACCCGCCTCCCCTTTTTTCTCCCTATTCATTATGTATCATCCTTAAGAGATACGAAACTAACACATAAAGTAAGTCTAGGGACAACAAACGCCTCATTTCACTACGAACCTCTGACGTCAATGCCTGCTTTTGTGACGTCATTCATTCACACGTGAGGTCATTGTTTATTGTTATTCCTATGCCGAAATTAGAATAGAAATAGATCGCGTGAAGTAAGGTCCGGAGAGAGAGAGAGAGAGAGAGAGAGAGAGAGAGAGAGAGAAGAGAGAGAGAGAGAGAGAGAGAGAGAGAGAGAGAGAGAGAGAGAGAGAGAGAGAGAGAGAGAGAGAGAGAGAGAGAGAGAGAGAGAGTATACAAACAGGTGATTTTAATGAGCATCAGTAAACACGAAAATAACAGGTAACCGTATAATGAGACTCCTCCCTCCCTCTCTAGCGTCTCTCGTCCACCTGGGAGAAGTAGGTATTGGACCGTTGGTACAGTCACGGGTCAGCTGGTACTACCATAACACATTCGCCTCCTAACAACACCTAATGTTTACAACCTCACAGCTGATCATAACACCTAATGTTAACCTCACAGCTGATCATAACACCAATGTTTACCTCACAGCTGATCATAACACCTAATGTTTACAACCTCACAGCTGATCATAACAAAACACAATGTTTACAACCTCACAGCTGATCATAACAACACCTAATGTTTACAACCTCACAGCTGATCATAACAACATAATGTTTACAACCTCACAGCTGATCATAACAACACCTAATGTTTACAACCTCACAGCTGATCATAACAACACCAAATGTTTACAAATTCACAGCTGATCATAACACCTAATGTTTACAACCTCACAGCTGATCATAACAACACCTAATGTTTACAACCTCACAGCTGATCATAACGACACCTAAAGTTTACAAATTCACAGCTGATCACAACACCTAATGTTTACAAATTTATAGCTGATCAAAACAACCCTCTTATGTTTACATCCTCACAGCTGATCAAAACAACCCTTTTACATCCTTACAGCTGATCAAACTCTCTCTCTCTCTCTCTCTTCAACCGTAAAGAACGTCCAGTACGACTACACTCACCCGCTCTCCATCGTCGTCGTCCTCCTCAGGGTCGTAAGCCTCCGCGAACACTGACTTCCGCCGCGTGAACCGGTTAAGTGGAGGCTCGGACACCAAGGCAGAGTGTTAGTGGTGAAGACAATGCTACAGGATCTTGAAATGTTCAGGAAAATGTCTTGTAAAATTGGTAATAATGACATAATTAAATAAAATGTTAAAATATACAATAAAACGTCTGGTAAAATTTGGTAATAATGACATAATTATATAAAATGTTAAAATGTACATAGAGAAATAATGCTAAAAATACTTAGTTAACATTTCAACTCAGTCAGGTAATGATGTGAACATTGCGACAGTTTAACCTGACAGGTACGTTGTTATGAAGAGGTTGACGGTTATTATTCAGTTAGAAGGTTAACTAGAGAATTAACTCATCATTAACACCGGGATATTGAAGGTGTTAACTTTGTTATTGTGGACAGGTGCGTAAAGGTGTATATAGCTATCAGTACATTTTTCTGTCTGTTAATAAGACAATCAATCAATCTACCTCTCTATTTATCATTCTGTCTGTCGGTTTGTCTGATTATCTACATCTATCTGTTACATACTTTTTTTTCAACCATATATAAATTTTGCTAATTAAAAAAATCAAAATTACTAGACAAAATTAATTCCGGAAAATAATTCATTAACAAATCATGGATAAATTAGACCTATCAATTAAAAATTTTAAAACACAGCAACAAAATATTTCAATATTCTAATCCACGAGAGGAATTTAAAATTAATTATCCACAAAAAACATATACCTGTACACCAGTAATAATTAATTGCAATCAAAATCAAGTTAAATATAAAAAAATCAATATTGTCTTATATTAGTTGACCATAACAGGTTTTTTCATAACATATTTCGTTCAGAAATTAATTAATTACCTGGAATTGGTTACCTGCTTGACTTCTCGTGTAAGCTCCGCCCACTTTTCATGAATCTCGGAACCCGATTGGTTGTTGGTTGCTATAGTTTAAGATGCCACAAACAAATTCTATTATTTCTTTTTTCTTTTCATTGTTGATGTAATGTTTTTCTTCTTTTATTTCTCAGAGGATAACACTGAAGAGAAACAATTATCACCGAGAGTTAAGTTGCGTGGCATCTCAACTCTCCTAGCAACCAACAGTCAATCAGCTTCTGAGATTTGTAATGGTTGCTAAGGAGGCCATAAGTGGGAAGATCTTAAAAACGAGAGGTTAACCAGGTAACCAATTAAGATTATTGAATTAGCTTAGATAATTTTTTGGTACCTTTATCCGTGATTATTAAATTAGGTTAATTATCGAAGATCCAGCACACAATCTCGAATTTCTAATGAGATAGCAGGAAAAAAATTAATTGACTTCATTTATTGAGCAAAAATGAGGCGCTTGATTAAACTCGCAATTTCCAGACATAGAAATCTCTCCAATAATCATATGGCAAGAAATAGTCGAAGATGAGTAATAACAATACCGGTGCAAATAATAATAATAATAATAATAATAATAATAATAATAATAATAATAATAATAATAATACATAAATAAATACCCTGTAAATAAATACTAATTGTAAGTTATATTTTATCAAGTCGTAACTAAAACTGAAAACTTCTAATTTGACAATCCTTTAAAGTTGAAATTTCAAACAAGAGAAAAATCCTACACGATATGCAAAATCCAAAAATAACTATCTTACTTTGAAATCCCACAAGAACGACAGAAAATCCTTCCTAGTGTAAAGAAATCCTACAGAATGACAGGAAATCGTACCCAGAATAAAAAATGAATAAAAATCCTACAAGTACTAGAAAATCCTGAGAGAGAGGAAATCCTACCTAGAGCGATAAAATCCACAAAACAGTACAGCAAATCCTACAAAAATGCGAGAAAAAACCTACAGAAGAGTTGAAACCCTACAAGAACGAGAAGTAAATCCCATGACACCAATCTTTATTTCACCCTAAAATCCTATAAGAATTGTCAAAAAAATCCCAAATCCTACAAATATGAAAATAAAATCCTTTACAGAGCCGAAATCATTCATAAAATTCTCCCTGTAATGTTTTATCTTACCTGTAAAATCCCTAATTGGATAACAGGTGACAGGCATGGCTGTGACGATGTCCATGTAACACAAGGCGATTGGGTACATGTGTTACGTTTTGGGGGGTACTGTGACGGATAGTAGACAGGTGTGGCGGTATAGAGGGATCCTGTGACGAGAGGTGAGACAGGTGTGACGGATGGTCTGGGTTATGTAACGACCGCTTAAGGAAATCAGATGGGTTTTGATATATGGTCCTGTGACGGTCGATAGCAGGGGTGTGACGGTGATGCTTGAGGTTGTGTGACGCCCAGCTAAAGATGTTAACGGCCGCTGTTGGGTGTGTGACGGCAGTTTTCTTGGGTGTGTGACGGCCGCTATTTAACAGTGACAGCCACTTAGGAGGATATGTGACGGGACGGGATCTTCCTATCACGATCGGTCATGCCGTCACAGTTCAGCGTCACACTATTAATTTTCGGTATTTTGCTATATTTTTATCTCAATTCCTTTATAATATATTTAGTATTTTTTTCACTCAATTATTGTTTTTTTAATTAGTGTCACAAATTATTTTATAATGCCAAAAATATATATACTTTTCTATTTCATAATACATGTAATTTCAGTTAAAAGCTTATTAATATTTGTTAATTAACGTAGACAATATCTAAATGTTGTCTTCTGTTTGGCACTTCTCTTAAATATTACCAAAAAATAATTCAGTCGTCTTGAAAAAATATATATATAAGTGTTGCAGTACTTTTTTTACACAGTAGTCACTCACTTATCACTATTCGCTGATAAAAGCAATCACTTAACACTTTGAGGTTCTGAAAATCACCTCCGTACCACAAATGACCTCCATTAATACTGTTATTTCCGTGATTTATGTTCCGCTTAGGCACCGTTAATTACATGAATGACGTATTACAAAAATAACATAGGTGTTTAGCAAGTGTGGCTTGGGTGTAGAGAGAGACGGTGTACCTTCACCTCTATGGTGTGTGGTGGACTAAGCCGCTATGTGCTCAGCGCCGCCTTTCATTGCAAGACGAATCAGCTGGGTGTCCAGGTTGCCTGAGTCACGATAATTCCTTCCGCCGCTTACTGGGGGAAGGGAAGGAGTGGCCGAGCTTCAACTCCACATTCTTAAAAAGATTTTTACGATGAATACTGCTCCTATCCGATGACGGAAGACCGTACCTGGGAGACTTAAGCTAAAACACAAAACTCATCTACACAGTTTGAAAAGTGACGTAAAGAATCAGAAAACATGTGTTATTTTTCTTTAATAAACGCAACTATTTCAGGTAGAGTGTTAGTGTGCAATTTTTATTTATTTTCTTCCTTTTCTTAGACGTTATTTCTGTGTTTTATCTTAAGTCCACCAGTAATGTGCATTCTTACGCATTCAGTTATGAACAGTATACATCGTACGAACCATTGAGACTCTGGACCCTGGCTAGTTACTGTTCCCATACCCTAAACCCCTGGTCCTGCCCTGACCGCCCTGAGGATGTCCCCTTAAGACATCATTCCCCGTGTAAACAAACTCCAGCCTCCTATTCATACACTAAATAGGGCGCGAATTGCTAAACTGAGCCATAGAAACCCGCTCTTACGTCCCGCCGTTCCCCTAAAATATCAACAAAACGATAAGATGCACGTAAGACAAAAATCCGTGTTGAGGGGTGACGTAATGCGGGGGGTTTTTTCCGTGTGATCCGTCGAGTTATCGCACGACCTCACCCTAAAACGGGTTGTGGTGCTCGACAGGTGCGGTAGTAGAGGCCATAAGGATTTTAATTCAAAGTTTTTTATCTGCCATGAACGTCTAAGACTTCATAACAAAACACAGACGAAAAAAAATTATGCCATGAACCTTGAAACTGTTCGCCAAAAATAATAATGTAAGCTTTTCGTGTTACTGTACTCGGTCTAGATGCCCTGTTGATGGCATCCAAATGTCCTCGGCAGTAAATGTTATCGTTTTACTTTTGTTTACATAAAAGGAGTGTGTGGGTGTGAAGTAGCCTGTATTTATCTGTGTTCCATAGGATGTGTGTGTGTGGGAGGGGGGGGAGGGTGTTGTTTTTTTTTTAGTTTTGCGTCACGTAGTTTATCCTTTGCGTGTAAATATTTGACAATAATTATATAAAAACTTTTATGTTAAGGAATTCATTACATCAATAATCCCTGCCACCAACACCATCATCAATACTATCTCCATCTCAACCACCAAACACTGCCATCAATACTGTCTCCTACCCAACCACCATCCCTGCAACCAATCTTGCCATCAATACTGTCTCCTACCCTACTACCAATCCAGTCACTCACCCTGCCACCCACCCTTGCCTCCTACCCTGCCACCCACCCTTGCCGCCCACCCTACCACTAACCCTACTATCCATCCCTATCACCCTACCCTGCCACAAACCACACTTCCTCCATCCCTGCCACCCAACCCTACCCTACCTTGCCACCCTCACAGTGACCAACACTACCCAGCACAATACCGTATACCGCAGTATTCAAATATCAATTATCGTCCAACACATTTTAAGTGACTACTGTCGTGTTAGAAAGATATAATTAGAAACAAAACATTAATACGTACTGTGTAATAACTTTAAGTAATTCTCCATATGATTAATTTGGTTAATTGACTCAGTTGTCATCTCTGAAGTAAATATGTATTCAGAATTAATTGTACTGTAGCATGCAGAGGTTCAATGTCTCAAGTGTGTGTGTGTGTGTGAGTGTGTGTGTGTGTGTGTGTTAACTTACGAGAACTTTTAAGAGTTTGACGTCACCCGGAAGCTATTAAAAGTAATACTAGATTGTGAAAGATAATTATCACAATCACAGTTTTTTTTTTGGAAATGTAATGACGCATGACAGTAGAGAGGAGTAACAGACGCACAACCAAGTCAGTAAACAGATGGATAAATCGTGTTTGTTGGACGGCTTGTGTTCACCCACCCCCTTCCCCCCCTTTTCCATCCGTCCTTTA